GAAACTCCGAGAAGACCCAAGTAATTATAAGGATTCGTTAAAGTTATCTTATAAAGATGCTTTAATGAAAACTTATGATTCTCGAGGGGCTAGAGCCTTGGAGAAATTTCGGGAGGGACTCCAGAAGAAGCAGAAACTTGTGGAGATCATACCGTTATCGGAAAACTTGGGGACAAAATTAAGGAGAGTGGAAAGAAGCTGACCTTTCCACGGAGTCAACGTCCTCTCCCGACACCAGCCCACAACGACTACCCGTTCCCCAGGGAAGACGTCGGTGGAGATGAAGCAGCTCAAGAGGAAGCTGGGGGTCTACAAGAAGCTGCAAAAACCCCGAACTCCTCCTCCGGGTGCATCCAACTCAGCAAATTCGGCAACAACGACACACACAGTCATCAAGAAAGCTCAGGGTCCTGAGGGAGAAACTTTCTCCAAGCAGCCTCGGCCAGCTGCTAACCCATGAGCAGATAGGAAGAAAACGGTGTGTACGGAATATTGGGATGTACCCTATGATCCCATTAACGAAACTATCTTTGGGCACTCCGAGCAATGCCCGCCCCTCGTGCTCGAGGTCATCTACAAAGCACGACACCTCCAAGCACTCGTGGACAGCAGAGCATCGCACATCGTCTGCGACAAGGCAGTAATCGACCGACTTCGGGAAGAGTACAAGCCTTAAGTATTCTCTGCAACGATGGTGGACGGCAGCAAGTTACAAGTACACGGCGAAGCAGTGTTACACCTATAAATCGGACCAGTGTACTGGAAACCTGCACTCCCCATCACCAACATAAAAGGGCTTGACTGGATCTTCGGGCAAGACTTCCTAAAAAGATTCAACCCCGAGATCAACTGGGTAAACCGTACCGCAAGCATCTACAACAATGGGAGGAGAGTCCAGCTACCCAACTGGGATGATACAGGAGATATCCCAGTGGAGACACTCGCAAGATTCGAGAAGGATATAAAGCAAACCAACACCAGGTTCCTGACGATAGCGACGGATATGGAAAGCGACAGAGAGAAAACCTCGGAACCTCCACAAAAAATCAAGGAATGACTGAAGTTCCAAGACCCGACGACCTTATGAACGAGCTGCCGCCATACCGAACGCACCCAGGCCTTCTTAGATGCTGTCATTGCGCGCTATTCCACCAACACGCGATCGTGGAAGGAACAGGTTCGAAGCCGACCTTCCGAGCACCATATCGGCTCAGCCCCACGGAGCTAGCCGACATGAAGAAATAGATCGAGTATCTCCTCGCAAAAGGACTCATCCGACCATCTATTTCGCCATACGGTGCCCCAATACTCGTCACAAGGTTCCAACCAACACACTCTTGACCTGAACTAGTTTAAGTTGGGTCCAACTCGAAATGGGGGTCATTATTATAGCCCCTCGATTTAATGAAAACTTATGATTCTCGAGGGGCTAGAGCCTTGGAGAAATTTCGGAAGGGACTCCAGAAGAAGCAGAAACTTGTGGAAATAATACCGGTACCGGAAAACTTGGGGACAAAATGAAGGAGTGTGGAAAGAAGCCGACCTTTCCACGGAGTCAACGTCCTCTCCCGACATCAGCCCACAACAACTACCCGCTCCCCTGGGAAGACGTCGGTGGAGATGAAGCAGCTCAAGAGGAAGCTGGGGGTCTACAAGAAGCTGCAAAAAAACCGATCTCCTCCTCCAGGTGCATCCAGCTTACCAAATTTGGCATCAACGATATACACAGTCATCAAGAAAGCTCAGGGTCCTAAGGGAGAAAATTTCTCCAAGCAGCCTCGGCCAGCTGCTAACCCACGAGCAGATAGCAAGAAAAATGTATGTACGGAATACTGGGATGTACCCTATGATCCTATTAACGAAACTATCTTTGGGTACTCCGACCAACGCCCGCCCCTCGTTCTCGAGGCCATCTGCAAAGGACGCCACCTCCAAGCACTCGTGGACAGCGGAGCATCACACATCGTCTGCGACAAGGCAGAAATCGACTGACTTCGGGAAGAGTACAAGCCTTCAGTATTCTTTGCAACGATGGTGGATGGCAGCAAGTTACCAGTACACAGTGAAGCAGTGTTACACCTACAAATCGGACCACTGCGCTAGAAACCTGCACTCCCCATCACCAACATACAGTGGCGGAAACAATTGTCCGAATGTTTTGCATAAATTTGGGTTTTTTTTCTTTAAGACCACTATACATTAAGCGTTAATGTTTAATGGTGGTACGATTTGGGAGGGGCACATAGTGGATGTGTTCATAGCACAAATATCCAGAAGAGTTTATTGGAACTAACTCTTATCCCAAAAGATATACAATGGGTACATACGGACAAATATTTCCAAGCAGAGAGAGCAAATTCCAGAATTGGGTATTTGCTACATAGCCCACCGATCTTTGGCCTTGATCATGACTCGCACCCTCCTATGCATATTACCTACGAGGTTAGTACAAACCTCGGCGGGGAACTTCTTGCACTCTTCCTGGACCCACCATTTAGCATAAGGGGGTGAGCACTAGGAAAATCGCGAAAAAAGTCAGGCGTAGGCTAGAGTATTATGGACGAATTTCGATTGAATTGTATCTTTGAGACTAGCCATGCTGAGGTGTGGCCAAAGATGCAATTAGCCGGTCAGGCCCATCTTATCACGGATCGACTTCATCGTACCATTGTAGGGTAAAATCACGAATAGAGCGGCCAAATCTAGCGTAGACACCACGAAACTGAGGGTAACGTTGCACAATTGAGTGTGCACCCTTGCACCATTAAAAGCACACTAGGGTCTGCGGGTCTAGTCACGGTGCATCAGTCATAGAAGCCAAGACTGTTCTGGAAAATAATCAGGGGTCGGCTGCAATTCGTGGAGTGGACAATTAGTGTTCGAAAGCATGTGATATGGTCAAATGGGACCAACATCAATTGCTTCAGCTCCAATGGCCGCGCGTTTGCCTGGATTTGTGAAGGCACAACCCTGCAACACCACCAAATCAAACAGACGGTAAACCATGGGGACAAGGATCGGTGATGGTGTGGGGATGTGTGACATGTGCGGGGGTGGGGTTCATATGCAAGATTGACGGATGCATGGAGAGGCCCCTGTATGAGGGCATTTTGCATGACGAACTCGAATTGAACCTCCATTTCTATAGCATTTTCCCCTCTGAGGTCATCTCAGTGTGGACAATGACCCCAAGAATTTGTTATGCCTAGTGCATGAATGACTTGGAGAACATGAGTATGTAGCCCTGGAGTGGCCTTCTTTTTCACCAAACCTCAACCTCTGGGGCTTACCTGAAAAGGGAGCTAGCCAACCAGAAAAGGCCTTCCTCTGAAATGCTAGAGCTCTAAGAGTTGGTCCGGGACGAATGGGAGAAGATCCATGCCGAGGTTTGCTCTAGCCTCATCGACAGCTCGCCTAGGAGGGTGCGGGCGGTGATCAAGGCCAAAGGTCGGTGGGCTAGGAACTAGAAATGACTTTTGAAGTTTGCTCTCTCTGCTTGGAACTATTTGTCCGGATGTACCCTTTTATATCTTTTGGCATATAAGGTAGATCTAATGTACAATTCTTGATATTTGTGCTATGAAAACATCCACTATGTGCCCCTCCCAAATCGTACCACCATTAAACATTAAGGCTTAATGTATAGTGGTCTTAAAGCCTAAAAACCCAAATTTATGCAAAACACACGGACAATTGTTTTCGCCACTGTAAGAGGGCTTGACTTGACCTTCGGGCGAGACTTCCTAAAAAAAAACAACCCCGAGATCAACGGGGTAAATCGTACCGCAAGCATCTACAACAATGGAAGGAGAGTCCAGCTACCCAACTGGGACGATACGGGAGATATCCCAGTTGAGACACTCGTACGATTCGAGAAGGACGTAAAGCGAACCGACACCGGGTTCCTGGCGATAGCAACAGAGGTGGAAAATGACGGGGAGAAAACTCGGAACCTCCACAAAAAATGAAGGAATTATTGAAGGAGTTCCAAGACATTCTTCTCGACGACCTTCCGAACGAGCTGCCACCATACTGAACGCACCAACACGAGATCGTGGAAGTACCAGGTTCGAAGCCGACCTTTCGAACACCATGTCAGCTCAGCCCCATGGAGCTAGTCGACATGAAGAAATGGATCGAGTATCTCCTCGCAAAAGGACTCATCCGACCAGCCACTTCGCCCTACAGTGCCCCAGTACTCTTCACACCGAAACCAGACGGAAGCCTGCGCATGTGCATCGATTACCGAGCTCTCAACAAGCAGACCATCAAGAACAAATACCCAATCCCTCGAATCGATGACCTGCTTGACCAGCTTCGGGAAGCCATGGTATTTTCCAAACTAGATCCGCGGTCCGGGTACTGGCAAGTACAAATGGCGGACAATTCCATCCACAAAAATGCCTTCCAAACTCGGTACGGGTCGTACGAGTATCTAGTAATGCCGTTCGGACTCACCAACGCACCGGCAACATTCCAAGCCGAAATCAACCATATTCTACGCCCACTCTTGGACGAATGCGTGGTGCTTTACCTGGACGACATCCTCATATAATCACGCGACATGCAGCAGCACGTCCAACATCTGCGACGCGTCTTCGACATTCTTCGACGAGAACGATTCTACGTCAAATTATCCAAGAGCGAATTCGCCTTTGAGAAAGTCCAATTCCTATGACACATGGTGAGCGCTCAAGGAGTTCACGTCGACCCCAAGAAGATCAAAGCCGTACGTACGTGGAAGACACCCAAGAACGTGAAGGAGTTGCAGCAGGTCCTAGGCTTCGCTAACTATTACAACAGGTTCGTGCCACAATACGCAAAAATCGCAAAACCACTCACGAGTCTGCTGAAGAAGAACACGCCCTATAAGTGGGAACCAAAATATCAGAAAGTCGTGGAGCAGCTGAAACAAGCACTCACATCCGCAGTCGTACTCATCTTGCCAGACCCCGAACGCGACTACGTCATCAAAGCTGACGCTAGTGACTAGGCAGTGGGAGCACTCTTGATGCAAGACCAGGGGAATGGACTGCAACCAATCGCCTACCTCAGCAAGAAACTACACGGGGCAGAACTAAACTACCCGATACACGACAAGGAGGCCCTTGCTATTATCATCGCCTTCAAAACGTGGAGATGTTTTCTCGAAGGACGGAAAACAACCGTTTACACCGACCAATGCAGCCTGAAATATTTGAAGACACAACCAAACATCTCTAGGTGGCATGTGCGATGGATCGACTTCCTTGAGACACACTTCCAGTATGACATCGTGTACAAGCCCGGCCACAAAAACGAAGCAGACGCTCTCAGTCGGCCTGCACACGTTGCCACAATCCAGGTCAAAGATATCAGCCCACTCCTCGAGGGACTCTTCACACACGGGTACGCCATCGACCCCGAAATTCCTTTGGCGGCAAAACGACACGTGCTACAGTGGGACAGTGACATCGCGTAGCGGAAGGGATCAACGGAAATCTGGGTACCCAATTACCCTCCTTTGCGCCAATTACTACTCTAAGAATACCACGATGTTCTATATGCGGGACACTTCAGAAGCAACAAAACGCTCACCGGTATTGCAAAGCACTACTACTGGCCCCACATGGCAGACAACGTCCAGCAATTTGTCACCTCGTGTACGACATGTCAACGGATGAAGAGCAGCAAGCAGAAACAGGCAGGACTGCTACAGCCTCTTCCTCTCCAGAAAAGCCATGGCAAGTGGTTCGCCTGGATTTCATAACCGGGTTACCAACTATCACAGGCGGTCATGACGCAATCCTCGTCGTCATCGACAAATTCTCCGAAATGTGACACTTCATCTCGACACACACGACAGCATGGTGAGGGTTTGAGTAACAAAGGACCTGAGGTTGGTAGTGCAAGTGGTGATGTGGGCCCTGCAGAGAGAGCGAATAATGACGGAGATGAGGGTAGTATGGCTGATAGTAGGGGAGATGAGGTTAATAACAGTGAGTGTGACAATAGTGAAGGGGAGGGCGGAGGAGAAGAGCATGATGACAAGTCTGCTACAGTTGCTGCAGGCAGTGAGAGCAGTTATGGAGGAGGAGGTGTGGGGGGGGATTCGAGACCTGGTGGGGCTGATGTCGGCAGTGACAGCAAAACAAATAGTGGAAGAGGTGTTGAGGGGGAGTTGAGGGCTGATGGGGCTGATGTCGGCAGTGAGAGCAGTGGGTCTCCCACTCAAGAGGGTGGTGGGAGTGAGGATGATGAGAAGACTGTGGATGACGAGGGAGGGATGGGGAATGATGAGAGAGGGACTGGGGATGATGCAAGTAGGAATGATAAACGGACCGCGGAGGGTGGTGAAGGTGAAGGGGAAGACGGAGAGGAGAGCGAGGGGGGTCAAGGAAAAGGAAATGGGGAGGGAGATGAAGGGGAGGACAGCTGGCTGGCGGGATGGGAAGCCAATCAGGATGCAGGCTAGTTGGAGGAGTCTGGAGAGACAGATGTGACAGATATCCGCGTCGCACCTAAAATCGGAAGCAGTCTCAAATTAACTGATGCTAACCCACTGACAGATGGCCTGCGCCTGGTAAAGGATAGGGAGCAAGCACCATAAGTTATTTGCGTCATTGTGGCCCATAAAAGCACGCGCTAAAGTTTAGAGTTATCTGTTGTTCTGTACTACAGATTTGGAAGCTTGTAGCCGTACCGATTTCAGAACAGCGCATATTTCTGGTTCGACCCGAGCTGACATTCCACGCTACAGCCAATCATACGCGAGCATCTGTGAATCCCCCGTGCCTCGCTGGGCAAACCTTCCTGAACCGCGACACGGAAAATTGGAGCAAGAATGCGTCGAATTCCACCGGGCGAGCAATTATTGGAATGGGAAATGGGAAATGGGAAATGGAATGGGATGGGATGGGATGGGCAATGGGAAATGGGATGGAGTGTGCCGCAGCGCCAAATGCCCGACGACGTTCAGCCATGATTGGGTGGAACTCTTCTGGAGCCGCAATTGTTTTAACTTGTAATTTTAGGAAGTGTGCGCAATGCCGAACGCCCGACAATGTTAGCTACAACCCGCTCACTGAGCGACTCCCGTAGGCATTCCTACCGAGAGAATCCCGCTCTCGGTACTGGGGGTATTTAGGAGCACGTCCTTCTCAGTTCCTGCACTATCTCCTCTACGGAGCAGCGTACTACTAGATCCTCAACCGTACCCATACGATATACTACATACTTCATACCCATACTTCGGTACCTTCTCAGTTCCAGCACATCTCCTCTACTGAACGTACTAGATCCTACCCCTACTACATACTCTCATCAGAGTTCGGTAATCTTCATCAGATCTGATCCCCGCGCGCAGCTGCTACGCTCCTAAACGGGTCTTTCGCAAGCCTGCTTCGAATTCCCGCACGTCAGCTTTACGCTTACTAGCTTCGCGAGCGTCGCTTAGCTTCGCGAGCTTCGTCAGCTGCACCCCCAGGGGTTCTTCGAGTAAGAAACCCGAACTCGGCGCGCAATCGTCGTGGCTGGAAAGTTTCCGTCCATGGCGCCGGCTTTCGCGGCGGTGCTGTTCGCCGTGGCCTTCTACGGCGCGCTCTTCGCGTCGGGTGCGGCGGCGCAGAGTAACTGCGTTGTATCGACTCTCCATGGATACGACGTGGAGGTGCAGCTCACTGACAGGTGCGCTCTCCCTGAATTGCTCTTTTGGTTGGTGCCGCATTCCGTCGATTCTCTTTCAATTCCGACCGAGAGTGGCGGCGCCGCTCACTGAAAGCTGCGCTCAGCTGCTGACGTCAACTACTCCCTAGAAAAACTTTGCAGAAATCGCATCGAGCGACCTCAAATGCGTGGATCGCCCACGCGCCCTACTAGGCAGAAATGCACCTTTGTCGGCTGGACGCCACTCGACCTACCTCGCATTTGTGAACGTTCGACTGAAATTGCATGCTCTTCTGTTTTCTCCCCTTGCCCCCTCGAAAATACGCCCGCCCCCAGTCTCTTTCTCCACTGGAAGACGCCCAACTCGACGGAGCTCCACCTCGCCCTCGAGACGTACACCTCTGGCTGGGCGGCAGTGGGGTGGTCGCCGGACGGCAACATGGCCGGCAGCGACGCGGTGGTTGGCAATCTCGAGGAACGGGCGGCGGACGGCACAGAGGTCAACGGGTCGGGCCTGCCGGCGGCTTATAAGCTCGTGTCGACCTCCGCCGGCGGCCAGGAGCGCGTTGGGGAAATGAGCTCTTTCCTCGGGGGGGCAAAGGGCCGTGCGGTGACAGGCGCCGCGACTATCCTCGAGTGAGTGGCGATTGTAACAAGAGTGTTGACTGTAACGAGAGCAGCGATCAAGCGAGCTGAAACATCACGATTATATCCTCGAGTGAGTGCGCTGCAGACGTGCCCCGTGCCCTTCTTAAACCTTTCATTCTGGTCCTAGACTGAACTTATAGCCACCTATCGATCTCCCATGGTAATATTTCTGTTTGGCTGCAGATTCACTCGCACGGAGGGATCTGGAAACGTGCCAGTGAAGCTGGCGGGCCCGTCCAACATCATCTTTGCGTACTCCGGGGACAGCTCGAGAACTTTTGGTTATCACGGCCTAACAAGGTACCCAATTCCAACCCCGAATTCTGTGTGCATCTAGCTTCACCTGTTGCGCCACCGTCACTCGCAACCCTCACTCGCCACCCTCACTGGCCACCCCCACTTCCCACCCTCACCCTGCTGTGCCATAGGCATAAGAGTGTTGCAGAGCCTCTAAGGCATATATGAGTTGTGCAACGCGTTGGTTTTCTGTGGTTTCAGGGGATCCACGGTACTTGATTTCTCCTGCACCGTGGGAGGGGCACCGATAGAAGCACCCGGGAGCGAGCCAGCACCGATCGAAGCACCCGGGAGCGAGCCAGCACCGATCGAAGCACCCGGGAGCGAGCCAGCACCGATCGAAGCACCCGGGAGCGAGCCAGCACAGATCGGAGCACCCGGGAGCGAGCCAGCACCCATCGGAGCACCCGGGAGCGAGCCAGCATCCGTCGGAGCACCTGGAAGCGAGCCAGCACCCGTAGGAGCACCCGGGAGCGAGCCAGCACCCATCGGAGCACCCGGGAGCGAGCCAGCACCCATCGGAGCACCCGGGAGCGAGCCAGCACCCATCGGAGCACCCGGGAGCGAGCCAGCACCCATCGGAGCACCCGGGAGCGAGCCAGCACCCATCGGAGCACCCGGGAGCGAGCCAGCACCCATCGGAGCACCCGGGAGCGAGCCAGCACCCATCGGAGCACCCGGGAGCGAGCCAGCCCCCATCGGAGCACCCGGGAGCGAGCCAGCACCCATCGGAGCACCCGGGAGCGAGCCAGCACCCATCGGAGCACCGGGGAGCGAGCCAGCACCCATCGGAGCACCCGGGAGCGAGCCAGCACCCATCGGAGCACCCGGGAGCGAGCCAGCACCCATCGGAGCACCCGGGAGCGAGCCAGCACCCATCGGAGCACCCGGGAGCGAGCCAGCACCGATCGGAGCACCCGGGAGCGAGCCAGCACCCATCGGAGCACCCGGGAGCGAGCCAGCACCCATCGGAGCACCCGGGAGCGAGCCAGCACCCATCGGAGCACCCGGGAGCGAGCCAGCACCCATCGGAGCACCCGGGAGCGAGCCAGCACCCATCGGAGCACCCAGGAGCGAGCCAGCACCCATCGGAGCACCCGGGAGCGAGCCAGCACCCATCGGAGCACCCGGGAGCGAGCCAGCACCCATCGGAGCACCCGGGAGCGAGCCAGCACCCATCGGAGCACCCGGGAGCGAGCCAGCACCCATCGGAGCACCCGGGAGCGAGCCAGCACCCATCGGAGCACCCGGGAGCGAGCCAGCACCCATCGGAGCACCCGGGAGCGAGCCAGCACCCATCGGAGCACCCGGGAGCGAGCCAGCACCCATCGGAGCACCCGGGAGCGAGCCAGCACCCATCGGAGCACCCGGGAGCGAGCCAGCACCCATCGGAGCACCCGGGAGCGAGCCAGCACCCATCGGAGCACCCGGGAGCGAGCCAGCACCCATCGGAGCACCCAGGAGCGAGCCAGCACCCATCGGAGCACCCGGGAGCGAGCCAGCACCCATCGGAGCACCCGGGAGCGAGCCAGCACCCATCGGAGCACCCGGGAGCGAGCCAGCACCCATCGGAGCACCCGGGAGCGAGCCAGCACCCATCGGAGCACCCGGGAGCGAGCCAGCACCCATCGGAGCACCCGGGAGCAAGCCAGCACCCATCGGAGTATCTGGCAGCGAGGCGGCACCGATCAGCACAGCTCGTCGTCTTCTTTGTGTGCATGGGCTCCGCGGTTGCTCATTTCCCTTGCAAGGCACTACCCAGCCCGTCGCCAGGAACCCCCCCAGCTGATCAACATGCCTCCTGCGTAAGGCACGAGGATTGGCTCTCAGCCGTGCATCATGGCTGGTGCCCGTGGCAGTGCTTGCTGGCCTGGCTCCTTCTCTTTTGCAATTAGCCTTGGTGGTGGCGTGCATGCCTCATGCGATCAACCTTGCCAATAAAATGCATGCCCATGTTTTCTAGTGACGCCTCAATAAAATAAATTTGTTCCAAATGCATTTTTTGTTGCAGGACAAGAGCTCCACCACTCATGCAGCCAAGATAGTAGCAGTTTGGTGTGATGGCTGTGTGCTGTCATGCTCAGGTTTATGCATGCACCTTATGTCAACTTATACATATGTTCTATGTAGAAGTTATAGGCTGGACTAGGTGTGTGCTTCTAGTGAGTACAACCCAACAGGTATATGTTCTAGGTTTCTCCTTCTAGTAATCATTCACGTATTCTAACATGGTATCGAGTAGGTTAGGTCCCCCCGCCCACTTCCGCCCGCGCCCTCGTCTCTCGCCCGCCCTTAGCCGGCCCCCTGCCCGTCGCGTCCGCCCCTAGTCGGCCCCCTGGCCGTCGCGTCCGCCCTTAGCCGGCCCTCTGGCCGTCGCGTCCGCCCCTAGCCGCCCCCCTGGCCGTCGCGTTCGCCCCTAGCTGGCCCCCTGACCGTCGCGTCCGCCCCTAGTCGGCCCCCTGGCCGTCGCGTTCGCCCCTAGCTGGCCCCCTGGCCGTCACGTCCGCCCCTAGTCAGCCCCCTGGCCGTCGCGTCCGCCCCTAGCTGGCCCCCTGGCCGT